TTATACTTATTAACTTAATTTTTTTCTTCAAAAAATTCGTTTTATGATTATTTTTAAAAAAAATAAGGGAACACTTGTTTATAGTTGATTTTCTTAAAGGAATTTAAATCTACTTACAACTATTATATATATTTATATAACTAATTACAAAAATTGTAGAATAAATATAGTAGAGCGACAAATAAAATTTACAAATGCACAGCATCTTTGCCAAACACACCCAGTAAAGCATGCATTGGTTTATCAAAGGGGGTGTGGGTAAAGAGATGTGTGAATCATAAGCAATCATTTAAAAATAAAAACTTTCAAATGCAATCAGGCTCTCAAAGTATATATGGAAAACTAGGGAAAACCTAAAAAGAGTCCCTGCTTACAACAACACAACAAAAATATGTTTACTTTGTTTATATGAATAACTAATAGTTTTATTTTATAAAAATGCCAATAAGCTACTGAATAAAAAAACATTTGATTTCCAAATGTCGTCACAAAAATAAATTTCCTTTAAGCAACCACAAACCTGAAGATTAAATACACGCACTTGTAACAATAGTTTTTTATGTATATTTTCAAGTAACTAATTCCATTTGTATATAATTATTTTAACGAAAAAATTATATTTGTATTTCACCTGATAATTGCAATAGCATGAAACTTAAAGTTGTGAAAATATATATGAGTATATATATATATATATATATATATATATATATATATATATATATATATATATATATATATATATATGTATGTGTATATATGTATATATGTTTATATATATATATATATATATATATATATATATATATATATATATATATATATATATATATATGTATGTGTATATATGTTTATATATATATATATATATATATATATATATATATATATATATATATATATATATATATATAAGTATATATATATATGTATATATATATATATGTATATATATATGTATATATATTTATATATACTGGGTTCAATATAAGCGCCGGACATCGGACATTGTTTGGCACTTGTCCAGTAAATAAAACATAGCAAAAACATTTGCTAAAAATATAATCTTTTTGCTAAAAAGTAGAAAATAAACTTTTTAATTTAAATTTAATAGTTCCGTAAACTAAAGATTGACAGGTCTGTGCAATGTTTATTTAGAAACATATCTGTCAATCTTTAGTTTACGGAACTATTAAATTTAAATTAAAAAGTTTATTTTCTACTTTTTAGTACAAAAAGATTATATTAAACATAGCAAATGTTTTTGCTATGTTTTATTTTCTACTTTTTAGTCTTTATAATGAGAGCAATGTGTTTGTCTAGACATTTGTAATTAAGTCGAGCTTTTTATCCTAATGAAACGGAGTATTTGCTGATTAACGGAGAGAAATATTTTTCTTTTAAAAGATAAAATTTTTTTATATAGAAGTAAAATAACATAAAGTAAAATTATTTCATTTGCATCGCAACCCGCGACCTCCCACAGATGTAGTATATTTTATATTAACATTAAACAAAGTTAACATAACTTTGTAAGTTATGTTAACTTTGTTGATAAAAATTTTTAATATAAAAGTAAAATAACATAAAAATACAGTACAAATATTTCATTTGCATTGCCACCCTTGTCCTCCCACATATGTAATATATTTTCGTATTAATATTAAACAAAATTATGTTGTAAGTTATATTTTTCAAGTTTATTAAAAAATTATTAGTAATTATTAAAAAATATTAAAAACACATTTTAAAAAAAGGTACAAAACCACAAGCGCAATATTAGCCGATTTTAAGCAAAGAAGCATTTTTCAATAAATTAAGAATATTTTTGAATAATATAACAAACCCGCAGGCAGTTGAGAAGCAAATTTCTATATAAAAGGTTACTTTTAATGTGTCCCTTGGATGACAATGAAAGTTGATGAAGAGTTTATGTTGAGTAAAAGAAAAGATTATAAAAATGAAATTTATCGGTCATTTTGTCCGACATATTCTTTACTTGCATTTATTTTCTAATCATTCTAGTTGTTTCAAAAGTTATTAATAAATTCAGTATTGTATATAAACTTTATTTTTTGAACTTTTTGTTTTTATATAAAACAAAATTGAAGTTGAACACACGGCTAGTTAATAAAGTACGTCATTTAATTGATATTAATTCATTTTTTAAAAGATGCCAAAGCATTACATTTTTATGAATTAAGTAGCCCGGTTTTTATTATTCATATTAAAACATTGCAATTAGTTACAAATTTAAATTGATAGTTTAGTATTTATGTTTTTTATCCAATAATTTTTGTAAATTTCAAACATCACATTTTAGCTTTTAAAACCTCTTAAATTTTGTTTTATAAGAATTTGAACGTAATAAATATTTTAATAGTTTAATAGTTATACTTATAGAAACCAGTACTTTTTATTGCACTATTGAAACCAGTACTTTTTATTGCACTATAGAAACCAGTACTTTTAATGCACTTTAGAAACCAGTACTTTTTAATGCACTATAGAAACCAGTACTTTTTATTACCCTACAAATTTGAGTCGTTATGTAACTTTGTTTTTGCGCCAGAAAAGTTCGCTATTAAAAGTGTTATAAAATTAATCCTAGCAAAGGTTTGAAAAGATTTATAAAAAAATACATATTTATCTAAATATAATTACGTATAATATTCTTTGATAATTTAAATAAAACGGGTTTATTTTAAACATTACAATTAATTTGTTACTTTATTTAATAAAATATTATAGTTTTTATATATTTACATAGTAATTTATGCATTTAATAATTTTGTATTTTTATAGTACATTTTTATTACATATTTAATTATGCATTTAATAATTACATAGTTTATGTATTTAATATATTTACGTAATAATTTATTTATTTAATAATTTATAAAACATTTCGCATAGTATAGTATTTTTAAAAAGCGTAATATAAATATATTTTTCATTTCAAATTTTAGTTTTTTGAGCTTTGATTTTTTTATTTATTTTAGTTTTTTGAGCTTTTTCTTTTTGTTAAATAATTTATCTTACATATTTACATTTTATTTTCAGCGTATTTCAGTTGTTGAAATATTGCTTAAAAACAAAGTATTTTATGTGTGTTCAGGAATAGCGTTCGATCATTTCTTTAACATTTATCGTACATGTCCGACAAACTTGAGTCTTTATCGGAGAAATTGTCAAATAGAAAAAAGTTTATTATTTCAGACTCTGTATATATATATATATATATATATATATATATATATATATATATATATATATATATATATATATATATATATATATATATATATATATATATATATATATATATATATATATGTATATATATATATATATATATATATATATATATATATATATATATATATATATATATATACAGAGCATGCAATCGTTAAATTCAAAACAATAAAAAATTCAAAAAAAATGAAAAATAGTTCAACTAATGAAAAAACTATAAAAAATTTATTTTAATCTAAGGAACTTGAAGAGTAAAAAAGTACTTTTTATTTTAATATTTTTCATTATTTCAAATAAATAAGCGAACATTTATGCAACTTATGCACAGTTTCTTTGGCAATTTTTTTTCCTACTAATATCCATTTTAATCAAATCATTAGCTATATTTGTTGTTTTGCCAATCTTACGCAAATATCTTTTTCTAATTCCCCCAAATTTTTCAATGGGATGGAACTGTGTGCAGATAGATGGATTCAAGCTTTTTGGTATGAATTTGATTAGGCCAGAATCAACAGAGGATGTCCTGACTTCGGTAAAATTGCAAAAGTCTAGCTTGCATGTATTCTTTGATGTAAACATCCGAGTTTAAAGTTGACAATGTGACAAAAGCTCAAGATCTCAAACCACAGCTGCATATTGCTTTCCAAAATTTAATCTTTAAAAAACTCTGAAACTTTATAACTTTTGGCTCATTCTCTGTTTGATAAGCCATGATTTTACATGACTGATCGTTGAATACTAATTGCTACTTTCTTATCCTTAAAGCCACTCTTACTTCAAGATCTTTTTGCTTGTTCGATAGATAGAGAGCTCTTGTATTGTTTTATGATCATATAAGCAATAGTTTTGCTAGATTCAGATGCAATAACATTTTAATTAAGAGAAACATTTTGACTCTTTTGTTGATGATTTTAATTAATACTGTAAATACTTAATGTAATTACTTAATGTAATTACATGAAAAAAATAATTTAGTAATGTGTTAGTGACAAGTTTTAAAACAAAATTCATTGTTCCAAATTTAACGATCTCATGCTTTAGTATAATTTAAAAGATAAGAATAACCTTTGATCATTAAATCGCGCATCAAATATTTAACAGCATAGTATAACAGTATAAAATTACAATATAAAGAAATTTATTCAATACTGTAATGTTTCCATAAATAATTTACTCTTTTTTTAAAAAAAGCATGTTTAGTTATCTATTAAATTTAGTTATCTATTAAAGGATAGTATTTTGTTGAGCACCAAATTATTAAAGTATTTATTTTTATTACGTTTTGGCAAGACTGTCACTGTTAGAATATTAAAAAAAAAATAGAAATTCAATAATTAATTCATTCAGCAAATTAGTTAAACAATAAATGAATAAAGTTTGTCTACAGTAAAAAAAAAACATACATTCAATTCATAAAAAAAAACAAAACACGAGAGCCGTTCAATTATTGCGGCTCCGGCTCCACCGTATGGCTCCACGGCTCCGGCTTGGCTCCACAAGTCTGTTAAAAAGATCACTTTACAATTTTTTGTAATGCTAACTGAGCTAAATAAAAAAATTAGGCCGCATTATTTTTTTTTTATACTATTATAATTTTTTCAATGTTGGTGAGGAATGGGATAAGTGGAAAAAATTTTTTTTCACTTACTTATGCATTTATCTTATGAGGCACTCTAATGTGTCAAGTGCCTGAGTATTTTAGATAATATTCTTGACAAGTATTCTAAAAAATTTTTGTTTAGAGAGAAGCACATTTAGGAAGTGCGAGATGCTGTGAAAATATGCTTTTATCAAAAGATCAATTAGAACATTGCATGCAAAAAACATTTCAACCTGCCCATGAAATACAAAGTGTTATAAGTAACGAACTTAATCATTTGCAGGTTGTTTATTTTTTAAACATGTTAGTTTAATTTAAATTTTATAACATTTTTAAGTTGTATTTATTACTTTTAGGATCGCCTAACTCGATGCGCTCAACAATGCCAAGATAATGTTCAAGATAAACTATCAAATAATTCTGATATTTCACTTCTACAGAAGGAATTAGATATATGTGTTGTAAAATGTTGTGATAGTCATATAAAACTAATTCCTACAATAATGAACCGAATTTATGATTCATTAAAACAGTTTCAACCAACCTTTTAGTAACTTTTATAAGTTATATTTTAAATCTTTTTTAGAAAAAAGTTATTTTTATGATTGATGACTTTTATAATTGTTTTTTTTTTTTTTAATTTTCATTTATTTGCATTTATTACTACTTTTTTTTTGTTTTTTGTTTATTTGGAAGTTGTTTTGCTTTCAAGATGCTTTCAATGTTTCTTTAAAGTTTCTGTTCCATTACAGGTCTCTTTTATCATTTGGTCTCTTTCATCTTTCATCATTTGGTCTTTTTCATCATCTGGTCTCTTTCATTATTTGGTCTCTTTAATCATCTGGTCTATTCCATCATCTGGTCTCTTTCAGCATCTGGTCTCTTTCATCATTTGGTCCAGTGTTTAAGTTGTTTATTTAAAAAATGTTTTATTTTATTTTAAAAGTATCAGTTATTATAGAATTTTTTATATATAATAACAATAATAATAATAATAATAATAATAATAATAATAATAATAATAATAATAATAATAATAATAATAATAATAATAATAATAATAATAATAATAATAATAATAATAACAATAATTTATTGTAAAAATCAAAGAACACAATGAAAATGTTTTTTAGCATGCATTTTGTCTAAATAATTTTGTAATGTTTTTCATTTCTTTTCACCTACATTAATTGTTTAATTGTAATAACAACTTAATTTAAGGTTTTTTTTAACAAATAGAAGTTTTATTAGACAGAATTTCTCTCAAGAAAATTCAGCATAAAATTTCCATTTTACTTTTCAAATGCTTATTTGAAATTTTCTTTTAAAAAGTGATTCAAATGAGGTTTTCTAATGATTCTATAGATCTTTCTTGTAAAAGAGACTAGATGCCTGAGAGAAGAACAAAAAATGACCTCTTTGTAAAGGAGGCCTTGCTGTGAATATAATATTTTTAAAACATTTTTTTACATGGCTGTAGAAAAGTTTTGTGTTGACTATAGAACAACTTAATCTCACTTAATAATTTTGCCAATTATGATTTATGTTTTTAAAAAAGTTTCTGAATTTTTTCTATTTTCTTCAGGTTTGCATAGGTTTCTTATTCTATTCAGAGTTTCTGTGTATGTGTACATGTGCTTACACACTTACATGCACATGTAAGTGTGTAAGAATATATATATGCTTTATATATATATATTTTATATATGCTTTATATTGATTTTTTTTATATATACTTTATATTGATTTTCTTTTAGAATAAATTGGTTATTGACATAATTAAAACCAGAATTAAAAGAAATTTTAGGAATTTATAATAGCAGATTGGAAAACTTTGTTGTATGCATTTAAATTTATAATGTAAGGAATGTTTGTTATTCATTCAAATTTCAACAAAAATAAATCATCTTTTAACAAAGTAATTTTTAAATAATTTTTCAAGAAATATGTTTTAAAATTTATTAATTCATTGTAGAGGCATATACAGAGGCTTTTGGAGATATAAATTTTTTAGGATTGGGTAAAATAAAAAAGTCAACATTTCTTGAAATTGTTCAAAATTAACTTTTTGCATGACAAAATTAATAACTTGAAACTTGATGTATTAATAAAGCAAAATATACTAATGAATAATATTGTAAATGTTTTGTATAGCCACACTTTGTCTTAAATGCATTGTTTATTCAGCTTTGAAAAATTTTAAGTAGCTTATTGATGCTTTAAGGTTGATATTGAATGGTGTGTTGACATTTTTTTCAAATAATTTATTTTATTCACTAAACATTCACTAAACCTCCATGTAAATGTAATAGTAGTTTTACATTTTTCATATGCTTCTCTTAGTCTTCCGCTGACAAATTACATTTATTTTGTGTCATAAGGTTTTTAAATTGCTATACAAAATCTGTAGCACAGTGAACATTAATAGTTAACTATGGTGAAGTTTTGCTACAATAAATTAAAGTTAAATCTATTAAAAAAGAAATTTTAGTTTTAATTTTTTTTTATCTTGATGTCCAGATATTTTTATTTAAACCACATTGCTTTCATCAAATTTTTTCATGATGTTGAATGTTTTAAATACTCCAGTTGATGTTGAATGTTTCAAATACTCCAGTTGATATTGAATGTTTCAAATAGTCCAATTGATATTGAATGTTTCCAGTTTATTTTGTTGATGACTATAGCCAACTTGATTAAGTAATTAACTATTTTATTTTAAATAAATTTAGTTAATTTTACCAGTTTTTTCCTTTTCTAAAAATAGAAATATTTAACTCATTACTAAAGATACTTAAATATTATCTTGAAATACTTCACTTGTAAACACATATTATAGTGCTGGAAGTGTAAAATTCGTTTCTGGTTAATTTAAGGATGTTAAATTTGAAAAATTAATTTACCTTATTTAGCTTTAGTTTTTCTTTAATACAATATTTTTTATGCAACACCTTTTATTATTCAAAGTTTTAAGTATGATAAAGATACGATTTTGCAAAAGAAAAAAAAAGCTTAATAACAGAAATATAGCTTAATAACAGAAATAAATAAAATTCATATTAAAAATAGGTTGCTGTTATATATAGTCTTATTATTTTCTTTTGTTTTAACAACCAGTTTGATGTTACTTTATTTAATAAAATTAAAAAATATGTTATACACATGCATTTTTAGTAAAAAACTGTAGGCTGAATGATGTATTAAATACAAAAAAAAAAAAAGAAAAAAAAAAGCAATTTATTGCAAAACTTACACTGTTTTTAGTCGGCATAAGGTTGACACAAAATTTTTCAAATGTAAAAATAAAAGTTCAAAAATATAGAAATAGTAACTTATGCATGTCTATTTAATTATATATATATATATGTATATATATATATATATATATATATATATATATATATATATATATATATATGTATATATATATATATATATATATATATATATATATATATATATATATATATATATATATATATATATATATATATCAGAACAGAGCAATTATAAATTAGTAGAAATTCACTTAACAAAAATTTTTTTTTCATTTTTTTTTTTTTTCATTTTTTTTCATTTTTTTTTTCATTTCATTTTACACTGTGTTTTATCAACAAAGACTCATCAGAAATTTATATATATATATATATATATATATATATATATATATATATATATATATATATATATATATATATATATATATATATATATATATATATATATATATATATATATATATACATACATATACATACATACATATATATATGTACATTTTTTATTAAGATAGACAATGTCAGACAAAAAAGGCCAACGAACTAAAGGAAACACAAAGGTAGCACTTGCAGTTTTAATAAAATTTTTAAAGTTAAAATGAAAATTTAGTTTTTTTTTTTTTTTTTTTTTTTGCGCGATTAATAATGAATATGTGTGTGGTTAAAGCCTACTATATATTTTAAAGGTTTAATCTAATCTTATGGAGTTTGATTTTTTAGCCTTCTAGTAGTAGTCGTGCAGCACAATTTTTACAACAAGAAGGTCAAATAGAATTTACAATGTTTTCAGGACTTAAGGGAACACAAGTAAATGATAGTTCTATGCTTGATGGAGAGCTGAAAATGTTATTACGAAAAATGTCTAAAAAAGATACAATAACAAAAATAAAGGTATTTATTCACCTTTTACTTTAATGATAGTAATATTTGGATCTTGGACAACTTTTATTTTTAAACAAAAGGTTATACTAAAATAGACCCTGACTAAATTACTGACAAAAATTATTTAAAATGATTTACCTTTATCAATCTTTTTAAAAAAAAGTACTAATTTTATTTAAAAAGTAAATATAAAGGAGTGTTTTTTATAATATTTTTGTAAAAAGTTTAAAATACTTTGTGCTATTTTCTATATGTATAGAAACACCTTGTTAAAGATTGCTGCATGGAGAAACACTATATTCCACTAGTGTGAACCTTTAGATTGTGAGCTAAGTTTTTTTTGTGAAGTTTTTTTTCAAAACTTCTGCATTAAATCAGATAAATAAAATCACCACTCGATATTAAAGTTATAAGAAATTATTCTTTTTCTAAATATTTGTTGACCAATTATCAAAATGCACAAAGTTCTTTAGCATTTCTCTTTACATTAAAATTTCAGTTGTCAAAATATTGCTTAAAAACAAAATATTTTATGTGTGTTCAGGAATGGCGTTCGATCATTTCTTTAATATTTATCAGACATGTCCAACAAACTTCAGGCTTTCACAGGAAGATGTGCGATTTCATGTCTTTATATGACCACGCAAAAAAAAAAAATGTTTTAATGATTTGACCACGGCATATTTTTAAAATTTAAAAACGCGCAACAAAAACTTACCTAAACTTATCTGAAAAAAAAATGTAAAAAAATAATAAATATTAACGAAAGAGAAAATAAAAAAAAACCTAAAGTTAAAGCAAAAACACAAAAAAATAAATATATATCAGGCTTGGTTAGGAAGCGGGTGCGATTGCACTCGATAACTGACCACAGAAATAATATTTAGTTGCGAAAAACTGGCCAGATATTTTAGTCGTTTTGATAACATTTAATTAAATTCATTGTTTTATCGTAAATTTTGAAATATTTTGTTTACGGACATACATGGAAACATACATAAACTCGAATGTTCTCTAACATCTTGTGTAGAAAAATAAAAAAAAACACAAAAAACCCGCCAAATCTACGAACAACTAATTCTATTGGTTCAAAAAATACTAACCGAAATTTCTAGAGTATTCTGTTGAAATATTTTTAAAAATTGTATTATTTGAGTTTTGTTATGTTTTCGTTGAGATTTCTAGCATAAATTGTTTTAAGAATATACTACCATGTGTATTTTATTCAAATGTAATCTTTTAAAGCAATTTGTGTGATTGATTCTGTAAACAAAAATACTTTCATTAATAACTGCGTTTTCAATGAAATTATTAATAGTCATCAAAGTTAATACAAATAATTTTAACCACTAATCCATTTTCCTCACCCGTACCCGATAACTGATTCTTTCTCTTAAGAAAGAAAGTTTTTAAGTTTTTAGAAATTGGTTTACTAAATTCAATTATTTTTGCTTCAGCCATTCTTACAAACTCGTTATACTTGAACTTAAAGTTACTTTTTTCTGTTTTAAATACTAATTGAAATTATAAAGCCCACTCACTAAACATCATCAGCGGTATTGTGAAGTAGTTCGGCTTCCTCTTTACATAGTAATTTAACGTTTTTAGTTAATTTCTATTTAGCTAATTGAATTTCTACAGTAACTCAATGATTTAATTATTTCATTTGCTCATCTTACTAAGAAAAATTGTTTCAAATGTGTTAAACTTTTCAAACTACACGAAGCATAAAACAGTTATTGAAAAAACTTTTTTATTTATAAATAAATCATCTTTATTGGTTGAATCTTGTTGGACTTTTCAGGGCCGGGGACTGCATTATTTTGGTGGCCTTTTTTATGTGCCACAGCGTAAAAATGACTGAAAAAAAAACCTAATGGTCCTCTTGACTATTTCGCAGCCCCTAACATTGTGAGTCCCGAGGCTATAGCCCTTCTACTCCCCTCCCCCCTCCCTACCTCCTAAATCCACCACTGTAGATAAGACATAAGTATATAAATAAAAATTATATATACTTTTTGATAAATCGGAGAATAAGTTTCCTTATTAAACAATCATTAATAGTAAGTTGTTACTTTATATAAAAAATGTCACTTAATTTTATAAAAAAAATTATAAAAGAGCGTCGTCTCCAAAATATTTGCTCTAATAGTATTTATTTTGCCTAAAGTTTTTTTGCCTTAAAAGCTATTTTTCTTTTTTTAACTGTCTCTCATCGGTCCAGTTAATCTTAATGCTCTTTTTTGTTTGTTTTTAAAATGTTCTCAAAACAACTAAAAATCTGGCTGGTTTTTCGCAACTAAATATTATTTCCGTGGTCAATTATCGAGTGCGATCGCACCCGCTTCCCGACCAAGCCTGTTACTATATTTAAGCTCTACTGAAGTTATATTTTATTAAATTATACAGAACAACATATAAATCATAAATCAAAACAAATTCTTAAGAAACTTTTGTTTGTTAGGAGTTAGTTTTGATGAGCAATTTTCTAAGCTTATCAAAACTAACTTAACTAACAAAGCCATTTTGTATGGCAGCATTGAACCAGCCACAAAAAGAGATGTACTGATTCAAAAAAATTTGCTGTAGTAACTATTTTAGATATAGCTCTTTATTTGCTTCTAACCTAATGACTTATTTGGCTGCAAAGGCATTTCATGTGTTTGTCACACGATTGTTAAAAAAGTTAAAGTTAAAAAAGTTATCTGCAGTGTTTGTTGATTTCTCTGTGATACTGAATGCCACTACTCTCAAGGAGGCTATGCTTTGCTAGATAAGCAATTACGTTGTTTAAAGGAAAAACACCAAAAATCTTATTGTGGACTGCAAGCAATCTTTTAAAATTTATTTGAAATGTAATATACCTATCAAGACTTTATGTTATATAATTTAAAATAATATAAATGGTATATTACGGAATACTAACTTTAAATTTAATTTATTGACCCTTGAAATATCAAGTTAATAAAAAATATTTTTAAGTCTCAAGAATCTCAAGTTAAAATAGTATTTTTAAGTGAAGACTTTGCTCAGAGCAGGAATTATTTTGACTGTTGCAAAGACATATGGAAAATAGAATATTAGTCTAAAAAATAAAGAAGAGTTATTACTACGAGCATATTAATTTTTTATTGTTGTTTACTTTGAAAGTAAACAACAATAAAAATTTTTTTTTAGAACATTTATTAACCTAATATTAATTTAATAACATTTTATCTTTTTTTCATGGATCTGATCTTATTACTTCTCCCCAGAATAAAGCAGAATTATTTGCAAATTACTTTTCCTCTAGTTTGACTCTTGAATCTAATGGTCATACTTTTCCTGCCATTTCAGTTAAACAGGTTAACTCATTGTTAGACATCAAAATAACTTTGGCTTTCAATGCTAAAGTCTATTCTCAATTTTAATCTTATATAACTTGTGATTCAGAAAACATTTCCATCATAGTCTATCCTACTATTAGTCTTCACTCTAGTATTAGTTTCTTCATATAAAAGATTTATGATTATTAAATCATTTCTTTCTAAGCGCAATAATAAATTCATTCTTGAAAGCCTCATTTTCCAGTAACTTTAGTAGTACTGCAAGGTTCTATTTTTGCTCCTGTATCTACTATAATAATCTTCCTTATAACCTTACATCTAAAGTGGTTCTATTTGCTGACAACTTAACTTTATACTCTTGTTTTGACAATAAGTATTAACTTTTTGATTGCTTAGAACAAGCACCCAATCTTTAATTGGATCTTTCTTTTGTAACAGCCTGGGACAATCAGTGGCTTGTGGATTTTAACTCTAACAAAAATCATTATTTACTGCAAATATTTATCGCAATATTGTTGACATTCCTATACTGACGAGTAACAACCCTTTTACTCTCAGACAAGGTCCAAAAGCACATTGTAAATGTAGTTGAACCTGCTTTATCTGCTGAGCTTGAGTCACTCTCCCACTATTGTAAGGTTGCATATTTTTTTTCTGCAAATACTATCATAGCTGCTCAAAAGAGCTATCATCTCTAGTTGGATCAACCAAAACTCACTCTGGCTTAGCTTATTATTCCTTTAAGTTGCATCCTGTTACTATATCTGTCCCCCCATGTTATAAATTTTTTTATTCATCTAGTTTATTTCCTTACATCAACAAAATCTCAAAACTCTAACCTATCTTCATGTTTTCCAGACTCATGCAAACTACAAGTTTTTTAGTTTTCAGTTAACTGTTTCTTTGTTCATTAACCTCATCTTTTGTTTTCTAGTAACTCATAACTTAATAGTGGTTGCTTGCAATTTTATCAAAAGTGAAATAGTTAATAAATATATATTTATATGTATTTAATATATTGGGAATGTGTTGTAAATTTTTTCTCATTTTAAACCGGAGCTGGGGCCAGTATCACTTACTACCAGCTGGTGGTCTTCATAATTATAACTTGTAATGCTTGCCAAAAATACCTCTCAATCTCTGTGTGACAATTGATTAAAGTTTACTATTTCCTAACCTCATCAGTATAGTTTCAAATAACCCAATAAGTATACAAAAAAGCTTCACAAAATTTTTGCTTTCTTCTAACAAACTTTGCAAACACTTGACTTAACTCCATGTATATGTGTTTTTAGTAAAATGGTAAATGTATTTTTTTAATTATTTTAGGCTATACAGGAGTTTACTACTATATGCAAAGAAAAGGATATCGATTCTATTAAATCAATATTGATAATATGGCCACGAATATTTAATAAACTTTCTCTAGTAAGTTGCTTTATAAGTGAATTTTGTTCAAAGTAAATTTTACTAACATTTTACAATATCACGCTACACAATTATATTGCATAATTTTATGAGTCAAATAAATCAAGTTAAATTGTTGTCAGTTAATGTGTTCAATATATTGTTGTCAGTTAATGTGTTCAATATATTGTTTTTGATGTGTTCAATATATTGTTTTTGATGTGTTCAATATATTGTTTTTGATGTGTTCAATATATTGTTTTTGATGTGTTCAATATATTGTTGTCAGTTAATGTGTTCAATATATTGTTTTTGATGTGTTCAATATATTGTTTTTGATGTGTTCAATATATTGTTTTTGATGTGTTCAATATATTGTTTTTGATGTGTTCAATATATTGTTGTCAGTTAATGTGTTCAATATATTGTTGTCAGTTAATGTGTTCAATATATTGTTGTCAGTTAATGTGTTCAATATATTGTTTTTGATGTGTTCAATATATTGTTTTTGATGTGTTCAATATATTGTTTTTGATGTGTTCAATATATTGTTTTTGATGTGTTCAATATATTTTTTTTAATGTGTTCAATTGTTTTTGAGCCTAAACTGAATTTAGGGTAATTCTATAATGACATATTTTTCTTTAAACCATCTTGAACAGTTGAATAACAGTAAATTAAATATTTAGTATTATTACATACGTTTATTAGGAAGGAAAGGCAAATTTTTTAAATTAGGAACAAACTTATATGAGGTTGTAAATGCAAACTGGCATAAAATTGCACAACTTGTGAATTTGTACTAACATGGCATAGCCTAACAAATTTTTGTGCAAAATCCTCCAAACTGCATGTATAATTTCATGTGAGTGTTTCTACAATTTCATCTAATTTTCTTTTTTTGTAAAAATTATTTTTTCTATTTTTTTTTATCTTTAGGACTATGACCATCGCGTCAGAGAAGCAACTTTACATGCTCACTATGAAATTTCAGTAAGGGCTGGTCGAAATCTTGGTCCTTATTTGAAAATTCTTTTACCATGTTGGCTAATTGTAATGTTTGATCCTTTTGTTCCTTGTGCTTTAATAGCACAAAAATCATTCAATGAAATTTTTCTCAATGGAAAAAAGGCAGATGTTTTAAAATTTTGTGAAAAAGAGCTTATTCAGGTTTTTATTTACACTTTTAACTGGTTGACTAATCCTTTATTTTCTGTATTAATTTTAATTGTATTAGTAAAGCATTTTT